AAAATTTATTAAAACTAATAAAAAAACCTAGAAAACTTTTTATTTAATATTCTTTACTTTGTACAAATGTAATTAGAGTTTGTGCAATGCATGCATTTCCTATACATGTATTATCTACACCTTCTTTGAAAAGTGCACGTTTATATTAATCATTTGTTTTATTTTTTGTTTAATCATGTTTTGTGAAATTAACAGTAAAACAAGATCCAATATTATAGGTACTACTGCAGAAATCATGCTCAAAGTAGCTACTTTTCAAAATACAAAAGCTTTTAGTTCTTGCTAGACAGCACATCGCCTTGATGAGTAAAATGGCTTGCATAAATCGAGAACTGCAAATTATGTTATAATTCATACTACAATTATAATATAAAATTCCAACAAGAAAACTGTAAAAAGTTTTAACATAAATACTTATTAGATAAACATTTTTTGTTTATCACAATTATTTCAAGATTGCAAATGAAAGCCAATTTTAAAAAAATAATATTTGCCTAATACAGATGCCTAATGAATAAACATTGTTAATTAATTATCGTGTTCAAAAATTAATCTTTTTTTGAAAAATACTTTATGTTGACATAAAATTTTGATTAAGAAAATTCTTGAATAAATAGGTAAAAGAAACTAATTAACATTCATATTCGTAATAGTTAATAACTTTTCAAATTGTTTGATTAATAATCCATAAGTTGTACAATTTTGTTGCAAGTTACAACATGCAAAGACCACCGTGAAGATGGAACACTGTGGGTAAAAGTATATCCCTATATTATAAGAGATAACAAAGGGCTGTTTCTAATGTAACACTTGTTCGAACGTTAACACACATACATAAACCCATACGTTTTATACCTGCTCCTAATAAGGGTGTGTTCGTCATTTCCTGTCCTTGAGATGCCACCCTTAAATAATTTTACGATTTTTAATACTTTTTATAATCGAAAATCTGCGCCCTGGTGAATCAATGGTTTGTTAAAAAGTACATATTTAAAAAAAAAAAAACGATCAGTAAATGATCAAGGATGAAATCACTAATCATAAACGCTTTATGCTCTATATGCCAATTATTTTTATAGGATGAAAAGGGTAATAAACAGGTTTCCTGTTATTATTTTTTTAACTAGCTTCATTGAAGGAAATAATAATGTTTCACCCTGTTCGTTCTCTTTCAAACAAAATGGGTTGTTGCATTAAAGGAAGTCTTTATATATCTTGGTCATTTCAAAACTGGTTTCTCACAATATCACCGATTGATACTTAAGTCGAAAGCTACTACAATATTCCTTGAATGGGCTCCGTTTGTGCAAGAGTGCAGGCGCAACCGGAGACCTCGAGGCTAGTCTTCCAGAGGGAACTAAAAAAGAAACGAACAGGTTCATTTTCGAAAGCAGAAGCGACCAGCTTCGCTTGCCAAACGGAATTGTCCCCTTAATTGGTCCTCCAGTAGCGTATCAATCCGAATATTTATAAGAAATTATAGCGCATATATTAATTCAAATAATTCTATATATCCAATGATGGACTCAATAAGTAATAATTAAAAAGTTAAGATAATATGCAAACTATTAAAAAAATTACTATATTCTTATATTGTTTTTAAACTTTACTAATAAAATTTGTCATTAGTGATAGACAAATAATACTTTTATTTGCTCAGATAAGCTAGGCACATAGTCATTCATTAATAAGAACGTTTATTTTAAATTCACTATCAGTAAAACACCAATAGATGGCGATATATTGCCTAAACTTGGATATTATTTGTTAATAAATGCGAAACGCAAATAATACGAGTTATTAACTGAAAAGACATGCAAGGAAAGTAATTAGAAGTTGTTTATTATTTTTCCAAAGTCATGAAACATAAATAAAAATACCTTGCTCTTCACTAAAAAACTGACTGAAAATGTAAGTAATCATCGCAATCGTTTTTACATCACCAAAAGACCAAAACTATAAAAGAATTCTTGATAAAATCATCATGCTATACAACTAATACTCGAGTATCAAAGTCGAGTTAGCATTTCGTACTTTATTTGATGCATTTAATACAAACTGTAATAAAAGATGTGGTTGATTTGTAATGACTTTGCTTTATGTTATCACACGTGACATCTTTAGCACTTCTATTGGATTTCTTTCGTACCCATTTCTTTAAGAAAATTGCATGATTTGTAAAGATACTCAACTTTCAACTTTCTTCAATAGACATCAAAAAAGTTGAATTTTGAGATTATTATACATATGTGCCGTTCCACTTTTATTGGCTCCACCACTGTTGATTAACTTCTTCGGTAACATCATCAAAAGAGCCTACAAGAAGCAAGAAAACGAATGGAGACTAGACCCCAAGCCAGTCAGCAGTGTGGATGTGGAGGCTGAAGGTTTGTACGTGGTTTTATAAGTAATGTAACATCGGAACGTCATGAGTTCACAGACTCGGGAGAGTTATCTGGGCCTTAAGTAGGAATACGAGCGTACGAGTCAGTTACCGACTGCATTGTCGCTTCTAATAGACGCACTCGTTTTAGTTCGTGACTTGTGTGATTCGGTTTTCAGACAACACAACAACAAAACTGTTGTTTAACGCGATAGTCAGTTGTTCAGTCATTGTTTTGCAGCCTACAAAACAACAATAGAAATAATAACAATAACGGACGATGACCAAGTTTAGTGTCGCTAATGGCTCGATGAAGATGGTGAGATAACGTGCGCCGATAACTCGAACATTTTTTTAATATTATGACCGAAGAAGTGAAAGTATGACAGTGATAAAATGGGCGCGGGATGGTATTTGTTGCTCCCCTTTTATTTGTTAGTGGGTGGTGTATGTGTGGTGCTGTCGGTGCCGGATTTTATCAATAGGGACGCAACAGACAGCATTTGCAATATACCCGGCTGTAATTGTACCTATTACCTTACCTGGCAAAAAATTAATTGTACTTTCAACGATACTCAGGTTTGTTTGTATTTTTATTTTATAATGGGATGTGAGGATATTTAATCCTTTTCCTAGGTGGGTATAGTGTAATTAAAGATAATGGATTTTATAAAAATTTAGAAAATGTTATACTCGAAAAGAACAGAATTTTCGATTTTCTTGATTTTACTTGATTCCACTTTTGATCGATTAAATACCACGCATTATTTTAAT